TTGTGTTAAATCGTATTTAGTATATATATGATTAATTAATTGGATGTTCGAACAATCTATAGTATTTTTAAATTATTAATTCAAATTTGATGACAGATTAATATCTTGTTAAGGGAGATAAAAGCAAATAAAAGATAAAAAGTACACAAATATAGGGGAAGGTTAACTAAAATCATATATATTTCAATGTTTTTGAGGTTTTACATTCTATGTTCTAATATATGCATATAGCATTTTCGAATTATCAATAAAAATCTGACGATAGATACCTGTCTTAATAGAAAAGAAATTCTATATTCCTATAATCCTATATTTTAATATCTGCGATTCTCTAATTTTGAAATTGTCTTCATTACATATTTAACAATGAAATAATCACCTTCACTTTGCAGCGATTTTCCTTACAGCCACAGTCACTTCCCCGCGACAATGTACCTCCATTCCTTCGAACAGCCGATTACAATCGAAGAACGCGAACAACAATTAAAAGAATGATACAGCAAGGGGTCAAGAAAGAATAAGACATCTCTGCGAACACCGTTAACCGCATCCCTACACAAAAGGGTTAATTACCCCACGCCCCGCGTTCCCACGCATAAGAAAACCTGTGACCAACCGCTCGGCCGTTTATAAAAAGCCCGGGCACCCTGGAGGGGTCCGGGTCCGGGACCAGGGGACCGTGTAGAATGTGTGTGCGGGCTGCGATACACCCGATAAATCAGGATGAACACGGTTGTCCAGTGAGTCGCGAGCCACAAAGAGTCTCGGAATAGCCTCGGTGTCCGAGGGAAAGGAATCTCTTATCGGTCATTGGGCATAATCGGTACACACACGCATCTGGTAAACGGGTTGCGGGGGGGTAACGGGGGAGGTCGGCTCTAGGGTGGCGAGGGAGGCAAAAGCGATAGGGGCCGATTACCCCTTAGGAATGGCAACGGGTGCACCCTCCCGCGATTCTTGGCTCCTTGGAGCGTGAACGGAAATAGCCATCGGTGTGCACCGGAAGCTCCAGCGGCAAAGCCGGCTGTTTCAGAAAAAGGGATCCCGTTCTCTCGGTTGCGTCTCGCGGTGGCTCGCGACGGTGGCGTGACAAGAGTCGCCAACGCCGCGAAAAAGAGCGCCGCCAGGGTAAAAAATAGAAGAACCGGCACACAGGGAGGCCGTTCGAGCGCGAAGGGATGAGGACGAAGAGGGTAGCGAGGACGCTCGAGAGAGCAGGACGGATGGAGAGAGGGGGTGGGTTCGATTCGGTGGCGGCAGCGGCGGCGAGGAGAATAGTGTGGTCGGATCGCAGGAGAGGGGTGACATTATATTTGCGCAGGGCTGTCCGATAGGGCGCAGTATCGTCGCGACCGCCGTCGCGTGCACGTCGATTTTTCCGTGCGTTTACGTGTTTTCATCGCGAGTGCGTCTGCACCAGCTTTTCCCTCTCCGTCGGACTCTCTGCCACCTCGTCTCGTTTCCCTCCTCCTCCTCATCCCTCGTCACTCTTTCTCTTTCTCTCTCTCTCTCTCTCTATCTATCTATCTATCTATCTATCTATCTATCTATCTTTCTCTCTTTTTATCAGTCCACCTTGTCCAGCTCCGTTCCCCGAAAAAAAACCAGTCCTCTAATCGCAGCCTCGTGCGCTCGGAGAATCTCCCATCGGACAATAGGAGACACCGCGAGTCCCTCGAGCGGTCGCGAAGTGTTTCTGGCTCCAGAAGTGAGTAAGCTAGTGGTTGTTTACGTGGGATATCGGTGTTGTCTGTTTGCACACTTCCGAGGAGAGAGACACAGAAAGAAAAGGATCTTCGATCTATCACGACCCGTTTCGGCTCTCTTCTCTGTCTGTCTCTCAGCCATCCCCGCACACTCGTCCCGTCACCACCACCACCACCACCACCACCCCCTGTTGTTGCACGGTTTCAGAGAGGTCCAGTGATTTCCGCGGACTTTCACGCAACGCGGACACACCGGGTTCGACGGACCGCTGACTGGTGCGCGATTAATTGCCGGTAATTGCCGCCGCGATACTCGCGATTTTCGCGGGATCTCGGGATCTCGGTTAGCGCTGGGAACCGTGGTCCGCCGTTCGAGAGCCAACAACGGGAAATCAAGCGACGAATGAATAGCGCTCGTTCTCGACGCCGGCGATTCTCCCTCCGCGATTTCGAATCGCACCCTTCGGCAAACCAGGGGTGAATCATCGGACTAGCAAATGCTAGGACCTTTGCCGACGTACGGCGCTTCGACGTCGTCGATCGGCCGACGTGTTGTTCGTTGACATTATCGCGTTGCGTGAAAAGTCAACGGGATAACGGCCGGACGTCTCTCTGCTCTAGAACGCGGCCAGGTAGGTTCGCCGGTCATTTTTACGTGGCTCTCTCTCTATTTTAATTTAGCAATGTACCGCCTTTCGCGGGAATCACGTTTCATTGGTATTGATTCGACGATCTATGGGAGATTTTGGGTTTTTTAACGAGTTGCGATATTCTCGATTGGTTAGAGGTGATGCGATACTTGGTCTTTCGGTGTCCGTTTAGGAGATGATACGTTGATAGTCATTAATGTGGAAAACAACGCGTTTGAGAGATTAAGGTTTTTGTGTTGGACACTGTTTTAATGTTGATTTGGTGTTGCGTGGAGATATTGTGATTTTTAAGGAAACTGTTCTTTCTTGACTATTTAGAGCTCTGCCCTGAAATTTGGTTTTTTAAAATTTGTTTCGGAGATGGTATATTGCTTTAAATTTGTATGAAAAACAGTATATTGGACTGGTCAAGGTTTTTGTTTTGAGCACTGGTTTAATGTTGATTTTGTGATCGATGGGAGGGATTGTGATTTTTAAAGGAACTGTTCAAATTTCTTGACTGTTTTTTAAAGTCTGTTTTGGAGATGGTACATTCCCCTAATTTTTGTGAAAAACAGTATATTGGACTGGTCAAGGTTTTTGTTTTGGGAACTGTATTAATATTGATTTTGTGATCTATTGGAGAGATTGTGATTTTTAAAGGAACTGTTCAAATTTCTTGACTGCTTAGAGTTGGCCTGAAACTTGGTCTTTTAAAGCCTGTTTTAAAGATGATATATTGCTATAAATTACTGTGATCAATAGCATGTTTGAGAGATTCCGTTTGTTGATTTGGATACTTGTTCACCTCTTGATTCGTGATGTATAAAAACAATTGTGGTATTTAAGGATACTATACAAATTCCTCGATTATGTAGAGCCCTTTCGAAGTCTGTGTAATAGATGATACATTTCTATCAATTTTTGTAAAAAACAACACATTGGAGAGATTAAAGTTTTTATTTTGGACATTATTTTAATATTGATTTTTTATGATCCATAGGAGAGATTATGATTTTTAAAAGAACTGTTCAAATCTCGTTACTGTTTAGAGCAGATTCGAAACTTTTTCGTTTAAAGTCTGCGTAATAGATGATACGTTGCTTTAAATTTTAATGAAAAATGACACGTAGGATGGATTAAGGTTCTTATTTCAGACACAGCTTTAATCTTGATTTGGTGATATGTGGGGAGACCGTGATTTTTAAGGGTACTGCCCTAATTTCTTGATTGTTTATAGAGCAGGCGTGAAACTTCTTCTTTAAAAAAGAGATTCAGTTCGTTGAATTTGACACTGTTTTAACGATGATTTTGTTAATATGTGTATTTTTAAGGGAACTGCCCCAATTTCTTAATCGGTTAGAGCAGGTGTGTTCTTCCTTAAAAGTCTTTTTAACGAATGATACATTGCTATAAATTATTGCAAAAAGAGATTACACTGTTTAAATGATAGTTTTGTTAACATGTCAACAGGTTTGTGATGTCTAATGGAACTGTTCAAATTCCTTAATTGTCTAGAGCTCTGTGTCGTGCATTGCTATAAATTAATGGAAAATTGATCATTAGACTGCAGATTTTATGCTTTTTGGACAGAAAAGACTAAGCCAGAAACAAAATTGAAAAGACATGAGAAGAATTTGAGAACACTTTTATATCATGTACATCTCAATAAAATTATTAAAAGAGAAAAGGCAATTTTTATTTTGCATAAAAATCTGCTGTCTATCTATCATTTCAGATGGATTAAATTCGCTGATTTGGATACTCGTTTTTCTGTATGAAGAGAATTCTAACTTTTAAGGAAACTGTTGAAATTCCATCATTTCTCAGAACAAGCGACAAACTTGTTTTTTTAAAGTCCGATTAACAGACGATACGTTGCTATAACTTGTGGTTCGTAATTTCTTACGAGTCTACGAGATTAGGATCTGTCCTTCGTTCCTATAATACGTTTCAGAGATTAATTTTGTTGATTCAGGCAGGGAGAGAGTTGACGTTGAGTTGATGCTCCATGGAAACGGTTATGGCTTTTAAGGAAGCTATTGACATTCATTCATTGATTGTTTGGATCAAGCGTGAAAACGTTTCTACAATTAAATTCATGAATTTGAGTAATCATTTTCACGACGATCTGTCTCGACCTTTAAGGGAACTGTTGCAGAAAAAGAATCCCATGATTGTTTAAAAAAAAAATGAACTTAATTTCGATGGTTGAATATTTGTATTTAAAAACTATGTGCCAGGTGATTCGTTGCTCTAAATTCTTTCAAAATATTATGATTCGTATAGAAGGTGTTGTTGAATCGAAGACATTAATTTACTAAAAGAAAATAGTGGAACTCGTCTTAGATATTTCAGCACTAAAAATTCTTCTCTCGAACGATTCATCGTTCTAAATTAATATCAATTCATAATGGTATCAATTAATAAACATTGCGTTTTGAAATATGACACTTCTTTTAAATAATATTGCACTAATTATCCTAAAAAATCGCGAGTCCCAAGAGAATTATCGTAGAGTTATAACCACGTATATTTATTCAAAGCGATTGTAAACTTAATTTCGGATGCTGCGATAAATTCAAAACACGTTCGACATGTGATTTATTGTTCGAAGCACTGTTGTACGACATTATAATTCCTCAGGGAACTGTCACAAAGTTGGGAATCACTGATTTATCCCAAGGAAGTGCAAAACTCGTGTCGGACGTTGGTTTCTTAGATTTGAAAGTTCGTTGGCAGGTGATTTGTAGCGCAAAACTGTCGTAAAACATTATAATTCCCGGGGAAACTGTCGTAAGGTTTAAATAATCGATTTTTGTTAAGGAATATGAAAGCTCGTGTCGGATATTAGCTCCGCAAATGTGAAACTTCTGCGCTTGATTTATCGCTCTAAATTGTGATCTCGCGAAGAATTATTGTAGGCTCGAAGTTATTGATTTATAGTACGAAATAGTGAAACTTGCTTAGGACGTAGCGATAAATTCAAAACTCTTTTTGCTATTCACTCGATGCTCTAAATTAACGTCGGAAGTTTTGATTCCTCGAAGTTGTTATGCTGTCGAAGTCGCGCGATTTGTTCGCGGCAATTGTGAAACATGCTTTTCTTCCTAAATTTGTGAAATTTTATTTAGCAGATAGTTATTACCAGACTGCGGATTTTTATGCGAAGTAAGAATTGTCTGCATCAATTACAAGAAATAGAAATCAAACAGCAACGTTACATTTCCTTCAATCATCTTAATGGATTGAAAATGATACATTGACGTTTTAAAAGATCTCCGATTTGTACACTATTTCAAACTGTTACTACTCAACTTTGCCAGAAATGCATAGATTGCTGAAAAACATTGCAATTCTTAGAGAAACATCAAGGAGTTATTTTACTTTGAAGTCGCTTGTTCATTGGTACGAATTACGAAACATATTTTGTTCCTAACGTCGCAAAACTTCATCTACAAGTTAATTATTATTCTACATTGCTAAAAAAGCATTGCGATTTCTCAAAGGAACATCAAAGATTTATTATACTTTGAAGTCGCCTGTTCGTTCGTAAGATTTATGAAACATGTTTTTGTTTCCAACTTCATGAAATTTCATCTTGAAATTATTTATTACTCTATACCGTTATGAAACATTGCAATTCTTAAGTAAATGTTTAAGAGTTATTATACTCGTCGCTCGTTTCCTCGTAAGATTTGTAAACTGTTGTTCTTGTTTCCAACTTCGTGAAACTTCGAGTTGCTTATTACTCTACATTGTTATAAATACAATTCATAAGTAAAAGGCTCCAAGAAACGAAAAAAGAAATTATTTTGTTGCGAAGAAAGTCTCCACTGTCCAGCAGAGTTAGTTGAACGTTTAGAATAACAATCGCTTCGTGCTTGCTGTCCAATTACTGCTGAAAAATAATGTTCGCACAGACCCGCAGTGGCGAAAGCTTGATTTTACATTTCGAACATACGGTGCAACAATGAATAATAACTCTTTTATGCTTACCGCCAGAGTGATTTTGCGACTCCTTGCTCTTTCTTCGCGTGTTTCGCAACCCAATTAGAGCCCAATTAACAAATTATTTTCGTTCGCGGCAGCGGCGGCGGCAAACGGTGCTGGACGCTCGCAGAATATTATGTACGTGAAAATTTGTTGGTGTCTTTTTTTCGATTGTTTTGTGTTTTAACCGGGATTTGTGGAAATATGGGCGGAGAGGGGGCTGTAGGAAGCAGTTTCTTCTTGTGTAGGAGCCCTTGTCAGAGTCAAGAGAAGCACTCGCGGAAAATAAAAGCAGCACGTGCTTGACGTTCACACGGTATTGGGAGTTTTGAAATTAGTACTGTGTATTGGAGAAATGTCAAACAGTTATTGAACGAGGA